AATTGAAGGTTTAGATGTCTCTGAAAAGTTTAAATTATATTTTAATACTTTTAACTGATCCTCTGAAAGATTCCTATTGGAGATATTAACGATGGGGTTAACGTTTACGGTGGGAAGATGAGCTAGATAGGTGGGACTATTCGACTGGTGTGTGAGCTTAAAGAATTTAGAAATAAGCACATTTTTATGCCGTTGACAAACGGTATTGGTTCTAGACCAGGATGTATGTTCAAATGAAGAAAAATTTTCAGTTGAATTAGCAACTTTTAAATGGAGGTAATATAATTCATATTCAATTTTAGATAAATGTTTGTGCGTGTCCCTTATAATATGATGAAGAAGTGCCAATTTGAATTCTTGGAGAATTTATAGTATAACGTGTCAGTGTGGTTTAAGATATATTGGCCAAACAAAAAGAGCGTTGAAGTTTCGTATCAAGGAACATGAATCTTATGTCAGAAAAGGCGAAATCAACAGTCTTCAATAGCGTTCACATAGTTGGACATTTAACCATAATTTTGACTTTGGGTCTGCAAAAAATTATCCAAAAGGCTTCTTCCATAGGTGAATTAGATTTTCTTGAGGCTTTTCATATTCACAAAGATTTAGCATGTTTAGTTAATGATTTGAAGTCCAATCCAGTCCATCCTAATGCCTTTAAAATTCTACTATCTTAATTTAATTATTTTTGCCGATAGATGGCGTTACCTCCTCGCGTTTGGTACTACCAGAAGGTATAAAAATCCGTTCAGTGGTTGCTTTCCATTATTTGAAGTTCAGATTTTGAGCGTGAAGGAGCAGTTGCCCCTCGCTCCCTATATTTTTAACTTTGCTAATTTTTCTTATATCCTTTGTGTTACATGTTTATGTCCTTTGTGTTACATGTTTGATCAGATAGCCTGGCTCAGTAAAAGTAGGTGGCCAGTGTAACTCTGATTAAAAATCCGGTTATAACCACGTGCAGAGCTGATAAGGACCACGTGTTTCTGAGACTCCTTCCCCTTTATTTTTCTTCTTTCTAGGCATTTCTTTCTCCTGATGAGGAGGAACCTTTAGCTGCCCTCGAAATCAATTGAGTGTTTCAATATACTTATGCTAAATACAAGGTTGTTTTTAAGATTTTGATTGTCACATTAGCGTGTTTCTCGTCTAGTCTAGTTTGTGCTATCAACCGGCATTTTCGAGAATATTTTACTGTTTATTGTTTTACCACGTACACCATTTTATTTACTTCTTTCCATGTGGCTATTAGTTTTTCGGATTTGGTTTATGCTATCAACCGGCATTTTCGAGCAAATTCTACTTTATATCGGTTTACCACGTGCACGATTTTGAATTTCGTTGCTCCTTTCTACGTGGCTATTGGTTTTCAGTATTGGATGTTTCTCTCCGTTTGGAATGTTTTTGTCATATGTTGATGAAAATTGTCTTCATTATTGGTGTTTTTCATGTTATAAGTAATTCCTTTTTTGGACTTTTGGAATTATATTTGTTTTGTTCACTGGTTTCTTGCTTGTACCCTTTTCACAATATGTCCACTGACAGGAACCGATTTTGTAAGTTACGCCTTAAGCGTACGAAATTCTTGAATCATCTACAGTTTCTACTTAAATGCAAACATCAAAATATCATTCCCAAATTTATACATATGAAATGTAGCCTTAAAGCTTCCGTTCACGTTTAAAAATTTTTGCATAAATTCAAATTGGCACTTCTTCGTCATATTATAAGGGACACGCGGAAACATTTATCTAAAATTGAATTTGAATTATATTACCTCCATTTAAGAATTGCTAATTCAACTGAAAATTTTTCCGCATTTGAACATACATCCTGGTCTAGAACCGATACCGTTTGTCAATGGCATAAAAATGTGCTTATTTCTAAATTCCTTAAGCTTACACACCAGTCGGATAGTCCCACCTATCTAGCTAATCTTCCCATGTAAACGTTAACCCCATCGTTAATATCTCCAATAGGAATCATTCGGAGGATCAGTTAAAAGTATTAAAATATAATTTCAACTTTTCAAAGGCATCTAAACCTTCAGTTCCTCAAATCATCGCCCCTATAGAGAGAGCCTTTAAATTCTCCAAAATTTCGGAAATGCAGAAGGATACAATCCGCCACCTAATTACTCATAACGTTAATTTTAACGACAAATCTTTGGGTTCGAACCTTAGCAAAAAGGAAAATGAGATCTTACGTGAAATTCATTCTGATACTAATACCATTATCTCTAAAGCTGATAACGGCGGACAGATCATTGTTATGGAGAAACACACATATATTACTGGAGTCTCTAAACTGATAAATGAAGGCCCATACTGCTCGATCCCTAAAGATCCTTCAACTTTGGACCTCACGAAAGTTAAAAGTGCTATCAAATCTTCTCATATTCTTCCAACGCAGTTGAAGAAATCACTTATTCCACCTATTACTAATTGCACTAGGCTTTATGCTCTTCCAAAAGTCCACAAAACCAGTATTCCTTTTCGACCAAATGTTTCCAACATAGGTACTGCTTCATATCCTTTGGCCAAATATTTAGTTTCCAGATTTTCTCCTCTACTTGCTAACAATATTCACACTGTAAAAATTTTGTTGAAGTCATTGATAAATTTAAAATCATTTCTCCACTTTGTTCCATTTGATGACAAATCACTGTTTATTAATGTTCCGGTCGAAGGAGCACTAAATTGTCTTGAAACTAGGCTTTGGGAATTTCACTTCACATATACTGAAATTAATGAGTTGGTTTCGCTTACTAAAGTCTCTCTAAGTCAAACCCACTTTGTTTTCCAAAATGCATATTTTCTTCAAGTTGAAGGATTGGCTATGGTTAATCCTCTCAGTCCGGTACTTGCTGACATTGATATGCACAATTTTGGGATGAAATTATTTGATAAACTATCTTTTCGTCTTTGGGTTCGGTATGTTGAAGACACTTTCGCACTTTTGACTGTTATAAAGAAGATTTATCCAAGATTCTATCTATTAGGAATTGAATTGATCCAGCCATCCAATTCACTCTTGAAATTGAATCCAACAATTCTCCCCCTTTCTTGATATTCTTATAATTCGCAATGAAACCGATTTTAGCACTACTGTGTACCGTAAACCCTTTGCAGTTTGTTTACCACCCCATGCCAAGTCATGCCACCGTGTTAAGCAAAAAATGGCTTCTTTTTACTATTATGTATTCCGCACGCTTCAAGTTTGTTCATCTGAATCTTTATGTACCAATGAACTTAATAATTTTAGAGCAGTTGCGATTGACCGTGTATTTTCTCCCGTGATTATTGATAAAGCTGTTAAAAAATTTTCAGATTCCCATCAAAGAAGACATTCCACTGTTAGAAATAATATTAATGACCTTGTCGTGCTACCATTTTATCCTTCTGTTTGCTATAAAATTGCACGGATTCTCCAGAAATTCAATTTTCAAGTCGGTTTCTCCCCTATTAATAAAATTCACCCTTCGATTCTAAAAGATTGCGTTTCTGTCTTGAATTCTTGGGGAATTTATAGTATATCGTGTCAGTGTGGTTTAAGATATATTAGTCAAACAAAAAGAGCTTTGAAGTTTCGTATCAAGAAACATGAATCTTATGTCAGAAAAGGTGAAATCAACAAGTCTTCAATAGCGTATCATAGTTGGACATTTAACCATAATTTTGACTTTGGGTCTGCAAAAATTATCCAAAAGGCTTCTTCCATAGGTGAATTGGATTTTCTTGAGGCTTTTCATATTCACAAAAATTTAGCATGTTTAGTTAATGATTTGAAGTCCAATCCAGTCCATCCTAATGCCTTTAAAATTCTACTATCTCAATTCAGTTATTTTTGCCGATAGATGGCGTTACCTCCTCGCGTTTGGTACTACCAGAGGGTATAAATATTGCCCCTCGCTCCCTTTATTTTTAACTTCGCTAATTTTTCTTGTCCTTTTTGTTACATGTTTGATCAGATAGCCTGGCTCAGTAAAAGTAGGCGGCTAGTGTAACTCTGATTAAAAATCCGGTTATAACCACGTGCAGTGCTGATAAGGACCACGTGTTCCTGAGACTCCTTCGCCTTTATTTTTCTTCTTTCTAGGCATTTCTTTTTCCTGATGAGGAGGGACTTTTAGCTGCCCTCGAAATCGATTGAGTGTTTCAATATACTTACACTAAATACAAGGTTGTTTTTACGATTTTGATTGTCATATTAGCGTGTTTCTCTTCTAGTCTATGTAGCTGTTGCTCTGGAGAAATAAGTTCTTAGTACATATTAATTTAGATATGACCTGAATAAATTTAAAACTGAAAAAATAGAATGATCATAATCATTATTTGAAACAGTTTTCTTTTGCTGCAGTGTGTCTTTTTCAATATTCTGAAATTTTTATCCCTTCATCAAAGAAAACATTTTGTGGGCTGTGTTTTTGTTCTCATATTTAGTACTGACATTGGAGATTAATCTGGATTGTAACACAGGGATGTGGCAGCACATCTCACCTGGATATATGTGACGAACTTTTTCTTGATATTATTTATGAAATAACAATACTTGAAATCCCCCTCTTTAAAAAAAACTTTATTTCTCTCAAGTGAGGAACTTCCTGCTAATTCAACATTTTCACATGTGATATATGTGGCTAATAAGTCATGTGTAGCTCATGATATCCAAAGTTATTTTATTACTATGTTGTATAAATTCTTGTAACAAAAATCCTGAAGCCTTGCTAATATTTGAATGTCTAGTTAAATAAATTATAACTAGGGTTTTAATACAGAAATAAGCACATTTTCTTCAGAAAATAAGAACAGATATGAAAAAGTATTTTGAGTTATTATTTTCTCTTAATATAAACTATGTTCATGAACTTTCAGATGAAGCAGTTACTGTAGGTGAAAGCAAGTAGATTTTGTATATATATTTTTTATATTTTCATGTATAATAATTTGATGGTTTGTAGTAATCTTATGCTTACAATAATAGTTTTTATTATTTAACAGAAATATTTCTATCATCATTTACAAGCAGAGTTAACCAAAGTAATCGTCTTTCTGTACCAACTGCTAAGCTATGAAAGGAATGTCTGAAAATTTTCAACCCTGGAAAAAATCAATAATCATTAAATTTATATGAATTTTTTTTTCCCACTTGTACATTTCTATGAAGGTTGTGATGTATTTAACTTGTAATTTGAGGTTTATGTAGAATTAATGCTGCCAGACTTTTGTCTTTTTATTCTCAAAATATAAATAGGCTGTTTATACATATCGAATTTATCATCAGTTATGTCATTTTGTGTTTTAATTTTAGAAATCTAATTTATTTTCATTTTGATATAAATACATAAATTCATTAAAAAATGTTTAAAACTTTAAATATTGTAAAAGGTCGAATAGTTTGTCAATTTCCTTTGCATTTTGTATGTTTTGACTAGTGAGAAAAGATTTACATAAAATGTAGCTTGGGAATTATGCATGAGCAGGAAATAACTTGTGAATTAAATGCTTGTTTTATTGTGGGAATTTGCTATGTTAATTCAGGAATTTTTATACTGTTTATAAAGCAGTTTCATTCAATGTACAGTTTTGGCCATCTGTGTTTAAAAATGTAAATCAAAGGCAAATTCTGCCCTCATTGTTTTTATCTTAGTGACATTTCCTGAATTTCAGAATAACATTATACTGTGAAAGAAATTCTAAATGTAAGTCTTGAAGCATCCCCCACCCAGTTTTTATTAGTTTTATAGCATTTCAGTTGGAGAAAAATTAAATTTTTTTATTGAAAGATACAGAAAAGAATAACATTCTAAAAACAGTCTGGGTATTTTTACCTTTCACTTCTTGGAAAATTTCAAATGTTGTTTTTGGGAAAATGCATTTTCAGGCATTTATATTGCATGAGTACAAATCAAGCTTCAGGCTACTGCAATATGTATCTGATATATATCAATGCATGCATTTCTAAAGTTGTTTTCTTTATATTGTGTTGTGTATAATTATTATAAACTTTAAATGTGCTTTTAAAAATTGCTCAATCCGGTGTTTTTGTGGCTGTTCTTTTGTATTCTTTGGCAGCTTTAATGTATTTATTTATTTGTTTACCAAAAAGTAACTTTTTTCGTACTTAAATTTTGTTCATAGTGTTATGTTCGGTGATTTTTATTTATGCCATTAAATTTAAGTATTTTGTTGAAAATTGATATATATTATATACCCTTGTTGAATCTGCTTTTCTAATGTCTGTGGTATAGTTCTGTGTTTGATTGATGTTCAGTTACATTTATTTTCTGTTAACTGTGTAAGTTTTTAAATTATTGATTAATTTTTATGGAAAGTCATTGCTACAAAAATTTTTAATGTGGGAGAAGGTTTTTATCTTTTCATTGTACTAAAATGAAGGTTTATCATATTGTTTTATTTAAATTAAGTACCACGTATGTGCAGTTAAGGAGTTTTTCTTTAAAATAAAAAGTATTTGTGTTTTACGGAAAATGAATATTACTTTCAGAAATTTGTATACTATTTGGCAAATATAAATTTTTTTTCAATCAGTTTTGCATTGAATATCTTAATTCTTTGTAAGCTCAAGTACTTCCATCATTTGCTATCTTGTGTACTAACAAAGATAATAATATTAAGAAAATTAGACTGCCAGTTTGTTAATATATAGCCAGGCAATAATTAGAAATTAACATATTAGTTTAAAAAAAGTTGTCACTTCTATAATATTCAATTTTTCACTTTAGGTAACAACAGTTTGTTTTGAAGGGAAGTATGTGAATATAGTAAATTTTATGATTTTCTGTCTAATATAAAAAAATACGTGCTTCATTTGATATCATGCAAAGTAAATTTATAAAGTGTGTAACATACTTAGGGTGACTTTAAGATCACCAACTGACTTAAAAAAACTTTATGCATTGTGGATTTTCAAAAAGACATTGCAGTTCTACCAGCAATGCATATCACAAAATAACAAAGTAGTGAATGAAGTTCTAAAGAGTTCTCATTGCTGAATCTTTCCAGCTGCAGCTGCAGATATTTTAAAACAGCATTTCATAGAATAATTGACTTTTAGGTGATTTTGCTTTAATGGAATATTTTCTTTGGAAAATTAAGCTTTATTCTTTACCTTTGTTCTTTACTTTTTTAACATGATTCATTGAAAATCTTTAACTGATTGAACAAAGTTTTCCATTTTTCCAAGTATGAAACAAAACTTAAATAGAACCCTAGAAATCCTTTAGCAGTCCGTTCTCCTATGGAGCATTCAAACTCTCTTTATATTTTTAGAATGAATTTGATTATTAAATGTGTTTTTGTTCTAATCCTAATAAAGTATCACCATCCATATGCTGTTTGGCACAGCAATAGTCATGTTGATTATTTACAAAAGTCAGGACTATTTACTATATCTGGAGCATTATGCTGAAGTAGGGTACTGAACTATCAGGATTAGCCTGTATAGTCCAGTATTCCAGTATATTTGATCACTGTAATCATAACTTTATTAAAAAATTAAATACCGACAGTTATATGAAAAATAAAGTTTCTAAATAGGGTAGCATAATATCTGAGCATTAAAAAAAAAGAGAGAGAAGGAGGAAGCGATATACTTTAAGAATGGTATATTGGTGATTCATTTGGAAGTAAGTTCATTTTCCATATGTTTATTTTAATTCGTTTAATGCTAATGTTTTCTGAAGTCAGCTTCATTTTAGTACTTTCACTTTACCAATACCTGTTTTGAAATTTGAAATTAGCAATTTAAGCTCTTATTTTATGTTTGTATAAGTAACTGGGAATTTATGCATTCTTATTAATATTTTCAGCTTTGTGAAGTTGTTTATTAATTTCTATTAGACATATATGATGGTATAGCATACTTTGAATCAAAAGCTTTTGTGAATATATTGGAAGAGAATTCATTTTGATTCTTGTTGCCTTGTTTGATTTGCATCATAATTCATGTCTTATGATAAAAGATCAAATCCTTGTAATTTCATTCTGTTAACAATGTTGAATGTTGTAACAGTGCTTTGTGGTTTTTTCAAATCTTACATCGCATTTAATGCATTTTTACCTTTTTAATATTTTCTATGACTGTTGCAAAGAAATATTTTCTATACATGTTTTTGGTACCACTGTATATTGATTTTGTAGTTTAATTCTGTGTTTCCCAAAATTGTGATATTTATAGTGTTGCTGTTTTATGGCAGTAGAATGTAAAGCTATAATGAATGCTGTAGAAATATGTGTATGTATGTACATGCATGTCAGTAATGAATATGAATTCTGGTAGTAGGTATATTGTCCTAGTTTCAACCCATTTATACCAATGGAAGTGTATGTTTACTGTACAAATTCGGGAAATGCTGGTTTAAAGCATTTATTTACTTTGTCGTATGAAGAAAAGTACTCTGTCAATTAATAGAAATTACAGAAAATGTGTTTTTTATGGCTACTACTGTATTTTTCTCTATTCCTCTAATGCATTTGAAATTAAAATTTGAAGAAAAATTATAATAGTATTTTTTCCCCTTTAATAACTGTAACATTAAAGTAATTGCTGTATTGACTACTGTTCAATTGAAGTAAATTATCTTAAATATTTGCTTGGTAAAATTTCAAAAAATTGCCAAGATTGCATTTAAGTAATTACATATAAGGATGTATTAAGTAATTACATATGAGGTCAACCTTTCAGAAAGAAGGAAGGATCGCAGGCACTAATTGCATAAAATTGTTCGAGAGCAAAGATTCTCGGAAATGTTGAAGGAATTTGCTTTGTGATCTGATAGCATTTAAAATGCATCTAGCTGCGTAGTATTTTTTATTTTTTAATGCAGCATATTGCACCCAACAAAATAGACTATTTATGTTTTACATTAGTTATAACTTTATTAAAACATGATGAACACAGAAAATATATTTGGAAATCCATATATTATTTTAGTTATATGGGAAGCTTTTTATAGGTTTTGAGAAGAATATAGAGGATGTTGCAGAAAGAAACTGCTGCATGACTAGGCCTTGTCACAAAGGTGTAGTCATAGATGATATGAAAACATTACCTGCATGGCAAGAAGTAAAACTTGGCAATGTTTGGTTTATCATAGGTTAAGTTCCTAGTCTTAGTTGTTACTTACGAGATTTTCTTCTCGAGAGTTTATTAGTATGTATGCAAGCTTTAAGCGATCTACAGATACCGTAGATGTATTGCCATTTATATAAATTATAAAAAAAATTTCAGTCCTAGCTAATACTTTGAATGGTTCCTAGTATGGCTGCTCTAAAGGTTTTTGCACAGTGTCTCATCTAGGGAAGTGATGCAAGCTTGCAAGTCAATCATTGTGAATAAACATGTTGCTTGAAGAGGGTCATGAAGCTGGAGATGGTCGAATCTCTTGACAAAGATTGTCAACAAAGTCTTTTGAAGGAACCATATTTGAAAAAGAATTGCAAAAAAATTCTGGAAGTTTCAAGGAACTTCCATAGACCCTTTCAAGATGGTGATAATTCAATACCTTCTTTCATGCATGACCTCATTCTGAGCAAAACTCATGGCAACACTTCAGTCCATCTAAATGTTGCATGACATTTAATGGATCCTTTTAGTTGTCGATGAATGTGTTCTGCCATACCGTTACAAATTGGATGAAAGGATGTAGTTCTTGTTTTGCGAGTTCCTAGGAATTTTGGGAGTGATCTAAACAACTCGCTTTCAAAGTTTGTACCATGTCAGTCATTATGGTATCAGGTACTCCAAATCTAGCAATCCACCCTGAGTAAAAAGTCTCAGTTTCAGCAGTGTAGTTAGCCATTGGAAAAGCTTTTGGCCACCTAGTGAATCTATCTATACAGGCCAATACATATCTGTAGTCTTTGGATTGTGGAAGCCGATTATATCTATATGTATATGGCTGAACCTAACATCAGAAAATGTACCAAGAGGACTTTTAGTGTGCTGATGAAAAAAAAAATAATAAAAAAAAAAAATGCAGACTGCGAAAAAAAATGGGACAGTTCTATATCTCTCGTTCTACTGGGCCAATTCACGAAATTCAAATTGTGCTTTTTCATGTCTCAAAAGCGCAGCTTAGGATATGTATTAGATTTATATATAGCATTGTTCTAATATAGGTATTTTCACACAAAATCGGACTTTTTCCAAAATGGCATGCTAACTTTTTTCCATATTTCGATTCTACAAGTCAAATTATGCCAAACTGCGAAGTTTTGTAAAAATCGCACAAGTATTTAAAAAATTATGTCTCAAAATTTTAGCTCCTCAAAGTTAATTCAATTTGTTATGTATTTATTAATATCTCTTTTTTTTATTACACTTACTTGATTCTTTCTTTCACAGTTCGAAATTTAGGTTCATTCCAAATAAAATTCACCCATTTTTTATGATTTATTTTTAAATAATTTTTATAAATTTTTGAAAAAAATTTTGAATTATAACCTATAAAATTTTTACCGTCATCTTAAAGTAAATTTATTTCTAAGCATACCTGCAAAAAATTAGAGCTTTTTATTCAAAATTTCCAATTCATTCAAAATTTTTATTCAAAATTTCCGTGAATTTATATATTGGCGCATTTTGAAATTAGGCATACTTGTTGAAAGTGATAATAATGTGGAATGTGATTTACAGCGCTAATTTAAAAAAAATATTCCATGAAAAAGTTTTGAATTTCTCTTTAAATTTTGCACCAAATTTTACAAAATTTAATATTTAAGCAAAAAATAGAGTGGTAGATTCGAAATATGGGGGAAAAATTGGCATGTTTTTCCAGAAAAAGTCCCATTTTGTGATATAAATCTAATATATATTCTAAGTCATGCTTTTGAGACATGAAAAATGCAATTTGAATAGTCAACTGGTCCAGGAGAATGGGAGATATAGAACTGTCTTTTTTTTTCTTATATCTTTCAATGACCAGTTTTAGTGTGCCGATGAATTTATATTTTTGGCACATTAAGCACTTTTTCCACCAATTCTTTATATCACTATTGAGATTTTCATATAAATGGAATTTTTATTAGGCTTGTAGTTGCTAATGTTTCAAAAATTTGAAATCTGAACTTTTTTAGGTACATACGATCGAAAGTTTTTTGAAGATATGTCGCAATAAATTGGAAAGATCTCTTAAAGGGAAATTTAATTGCTGATAAGCAAGACCAGTATTAGATTTGAGAAGGGTATGTAACTCGCTATCATTCTGAGCACGAGCTATTTCATCATAATCAATAACTTGAGGTAAATGAATTTCTGAAATTCTCAAAAAAGCATCTGCTACTGAATTATTACTTTCAGAAACGTATCTGAAATCGGTAGTAAATTGTGAAATAAATTCTAAATGAAGAATTTGACGAGGTGTTTCTTTATCATGTTTTTGTTGTAGAGTATAAATCAAAGGTTTGTGATCGGTGAATATCATGAAGTCTTGTCCCTCGATCATGTGCTGAAAAAATTTAACTGCTGAATATATTGCCCAAAGCTCTCTATTGTAAGTGCTAAACTTACATTTAGAAGGTGTTAATTTTCTTGAATAAAATCCTAAGGGTTCAACCTTATCACCAACATGTTGTAATACGGCTCCAATAGCTATTTGTGAAGCATCCGTAGCTAACAAAAGTTTCGCATTTTGAACAGTATGCACCAACATAGTAGCATTGGATAATAATTGCTTGCAGGTGTTGAATGCATCTTTTGTTTTATCATTGCTTTTGTAAGTTCTGACGTGACCTTCTTAATTTTTTCTTTTATCAAATCCTGGAGACAAGCTTGCGTCTCAGCTGCATTTCGTGCAAAATGATGGTAGAAGTTAAACATTGCGAGAAATCGCCTTAGATCCTTTACAGTCTTAGGTAGCGGGCATTCGGATAAAGTTTTTATCTTTTCTGGTAATGGGAATATACCATCTGAAGAAACTAGGAATCGGATTTCTTTTTGCCCCCAAAACTCATTTAGCTAAATTAACTTTAAATCCGTAGTTTTTCAATCGTTCAAAGCTTTTCTAAGTTGGCTTTGTGTGTGTTTTCATCTTCTGATGCTATGAGTATATCATCAAGGTAAGCATAACAGCAATCTAAACCTCGTAAAACTTGTTCAATAAATCTTTGAAATGTTTGAGCTGCATTGTTTAACCTAAATGTCATGTTTGTGTACTAATATAATTCAATGGGAGTAATTACCGCTATCTTTTCTATATCAGATTGCTGTAATTTGGTGATAAGCCTTGACAAGATCTATTTTGCTGATTTTTTTTTTTTTTTTTTTTTCCTTCCTGTTAAACATTGAGAAAAGTCATGCATATGTGGTAAAAGGTAACAATCAGGCAAGGTAATGGAATTGAATTTCCAGAAATCACCATTTTGTTTTTGTAACGAAATGTATAGGACTAGCGTAAGGACTTGTCGAAGGCTGAATGATTCCTTGTTTCATTAAAGCCTTGAATTCCTTTTATAAAACTTCTAATTTTTCAGGTAATAACAATCTAACTTTCGAATAGACAGGAGGGCCCTTAGTTTCGATACGGTGTTGTACATTATGAGTAATTGAGCTTGTTGAGGGATTGCAGCTACAACTGAGTGAAATTTTGTTTGATCTGATGTGATGCCAGATAAATTAAAATTTAATTCTAACTGCATGAACCATAATTTTGGGTTAATTTCCGAAAATTAAGATGCACGGAAAGCAATTCGAGAAAGTTCGATAGTCTGAGTTTCGCTGTTATGCAGCATTTAGTTTTTAAAAAACTTATTAAATAGAGTTAAATATAAAACAATGCACAAAAGTTGAGCAGTTAGAAATTGTAAAATAAATTATTGATCTTACTGTTTTTTTTTTCTATCAGACACTGTTTGCAAATCTCTTCGCCGGATTATAGCTGAGAGCGACAGAATACCTTTATCTTATGATTAACAAAAGCATTCCTCTAGTGACACTGGAAACAAGTTCTTTGATTATAAATGAATGAGTGTTTCCCAGGATTAAAGAGTAGGTATTGCTTAAGTGAACACTAGTTCACTTTCTCGAACACCAGATAAGGGGATGGAAGTGCATACACACATCACGTTTGCAGGGTGTTCTCAGAAAACAGCATATTTTATATTTGCTGTGTGCGTGACTTGTGTAACATGTCGAAAATGGGTAAATGCTTGTAAATGTATAGTGTCTGTGCGGCATAGTGGCACTCTAAATATGCGGCGAGCCCAAAGTCTTCTTGAGAGGTTGGTGGTAGGGAAAGAGGTGTGGGAAACTCTCAGGCCTGTCCCTCTGGGGTGCTGTTCATCAAAATTGGGAGCGGAACTGAGCAAAGTCGCACTGTCACTTGTATGGTGCTCAAGGCTCTTACCAACAACAGGCGTAATCTTGCACTCCTTGCGACGATGAATTTCATGGGCTTGTTCTGATGTTACAGTCAAACAAGTAAGAAGTCACAACAGAAAAGAATAAATTTTTGAAAGATTATGATACGTTTGGTAAATGCATCCAAAGAGAAGCAGCTTTTAAAATGGGGATTTTACAAACAGTGCAGCTTACTAAAACAAGGAAATAAAATTGATAAAGGACAAGTAAAAAAAAACAAATTTCTCGAGGAAACTAAAAAAAAAAAAAAAAAAAAAGAAGAAGGATGGAAATTGGAGGGACATTGAAACCACTGTTCTAGAATGTTTTCAAGCTATGAGACTCAATTTCCAGAGCTGTTTTGAACACAAAAGGTGTAGAATTCGCTTAAATGCTAGGCGAAAATTTTGGCCTAACTAATGGATGGCTCACAAGCAGTGTTGCCAAATCGTGCGATTTTGCGCAAATTTGCGAATTTTGCCAAACTTGTGCTACTAAAATTTTAGTATTTGCGACATCCATTATTTTCTTATGCTATTTTTTGCGACTTCAAAGATTTTTTTAATATATCATAAAATGCTTTTATTTTAAAATAATTTATATTAAAGAATAGTTTATTTAGGCTTAAATAGTTGATATCTGGCAATCTTATTTAGATGTGGGCTTTCCTTTTCAAGGCTGCACAGCCTGACGCCGGTATAACGAGAAAAGGGTAAAAAAAAAAAAAAAAAAAAAAAAAATGCTTCGGGACCTCTCACCACCCTCCCTCGTCCCACGTGCATTTTGTTTTTAACTCAGTCCCTCCCATTTCTATGGTGATAATGCATCGAACCAAAGAACTTGAAGTTTGCGCGCCATATATTGGGTACCCAAACAGATAAATTAAATTCATCCTCCTGATTATAATATTGCTAAGAACTAAGCAACGGAAATGACTTGAAAATCAAAGCAACGGCATTTTTCTAAATAACAACAAAAATTAATTTACCAGTGAAAGAACAAGGCTTTCTGAAGTTATCAGAATCTGAAACAGATCCACTACACAGAACGGAAAATTCACTGAAAAGCATTCCTCAATTAAAATGTTCACAATTAAGCAAAAGAAAATAAATAAATAAATAACTGCCAACTTGCAAAACTTAATACAAAAGCGCTAACAGTCTAAACGTGAGGAATCCCTTAAGAATGGATATCCGCAAATTAATTTAAAAACTGAAACCTAATTCAAATGAGAATTAATTAAAAAATAAATGGATATTTAATTGAAAATGAGCAATGTGTTTTTAAAATTTTCGTTAAAGCTATTGAATACAGTCTTTAACTTATAGAACCAATAGACGGTAGATTTGTGATGACGTTGTGATTTGTGAGGTCGTGAGGCTGCGCAACTATGACGTCATTTGCAATTTTTGCAACATTTTTAGTCTGCTTTTGCTTCCTTAGTTGAAAAATTTCTAGCAACACTGCTCACAAGATGAAAAGAGAAAAATAACATTGTTTATCGGGAATTTACATGGTGAGATGCAACAGCCAGATCATCATTTGGCTGAGAAATGGGTAAAAGACGCTTTATCCGGGCTTCTAAAAGAATACAAGAGACATGAAATTTATAATACAGATGAAAATGGTCTGTCTTACAGAGCATTACAGGAGCACACATTTATGTTTAAATGGGAAACAGCAGTGTTTTTTAAGAAATTAAAAGAACGAGTTGCTGAGTTATTGACATGCATTATGTATGTAGCAATTAAAAAGATGTCAGTGGCTATTGGAAAGAGTATGTTTAAAAGGAGTGAAGAATTTAACTTACGATAATAACAAGAACTCATGGATGATAAGCATTATTTTTATTGCTTTTCTTTAAAAATGAGAAGACAACTAAAAAACGAAAAAATAACTTTACTGTTAAACTATTGTGTTGCACACCCCTCTTATATCGTTCTGAAAGACATTAAAAATTTCTGAAACTACGACTACTATCATTAAGCCATTAGATTAAAGTGACCACATTTTCATTGAGACAAAGCGGGACAAATGGAATGAAATGACAATTTTTATTTAGTTATGAAATCAGACCAATAATTCAAAAAATATTTTTTATTGTATGCATTCATATATTTGTCTATAAATATACAAAAAATATTTATTATTAACTATTGGTAACTATAAAATGTTTATAAAAAACTAATTTGAATATTATGTTTTTAATTAATTTAAAATTTTATTAAAAAAATTATGATTTTCTTTCACGGTCATATTTTTAACCAAGTGAAAACTTTGCAATAGATTTTGATCATTTATTAAAATGTCGTGAATTTACTCTCAATACAGATTTTAAAGTTTTAATGTTCAACTGCGTTTTTTTCAATTGTCTATATTTTATTGAAACTAGAAAAAACACATTCTGTTGCTGCATTTGTTCCTGGAAGGGAGAGCGCGTGTTCTACAATTTTCAAAATATTTTCATAAGGAATATTATGTTTAAAATGAAGGAATAACTCCGTCCATTTTTTTGTCTGTTTCCACTTTTGCAGACAACCAACATTTTTCTCCAGTACCATATCTTTTTACCAATGACACCTCATCAAACGGATCATTTTCACAAATATTATTTTTCGGAAAATGGTTACTAATATATTAGAAAGATTTTTCCACATATTCCCATAAAATCTCATTTTTTAATATTCGATTTCTGCGCTTTCACAAAAATATGAATAAATTTTTGCAATAATATTTTCAAGATCCACTGGAAGTCAGATACTGTTTGAATAGTTACGTGTAGAATATGCGCTGCACAACCTACTCCAACAATGTTTTGGTTCAAATGTTCGTTAAAATGTTATTGATGCCTCTTCTTTTCCACCGAAATTTACGTTAGTGTTATCCTCACAATAGGCAATATTATTATTGTTCAAATTATTCTTTTTTAAAATAGTACTTATTGAATCAAAAATTATTTGTGAAGTTTCACCCGGCAATGAAACAAAATCTAATATTCTAATTTTAATCCCTGTTTCTGGATATAGTGAAAAAACATTACAAGTAATCGCTTCGGCTTTTGTCCTTGCAGATGCAATTATTTTCGTACAATGTTTTGATCATTTGCGACGTACAATCAATTGATCTGAAACTTTGATTGTGGTTCATGGTGTGGAAAGCAAAAGCCCTTCAGCTAATGCTAGCTGTTCCTCCGTTAACAATACATTTCCTTGATGAAACGTAACCACAATGATCGAACACCACCGAGTAAATCTAACTCGTTACATCGCTTAATTTAGTTTATTCCGCATGCATTTTTTTATTTATGTATTTTTTATTTTCTTTAAAAAATAATAGGTAATATATTTTTACAGTACATTTAAAATAAAAAATGCAGATGTTTTCTAAAAAGCGGGACATTTTTAAAAATCGGCGGGACGCGGCACTATCCCGCCAATCGGGACGTGTGGTCACTTTACATTAGATCATGGTATCATAAAAGCTTTCAAATGTAATATTTAAAAAAAAAAAATGTCCTTCGAACAAAAATAATCGAAATCGAATCTTGGGGGGAAAAAGAATTATTTTCCAAGTATGTGGAATTAGTTATTCCACCACTATGGGTTGGTGCTCCTAGGGAAAAAAGAGAACACGTTTTTTTAGAACTAGTTAACAACTCAAATATCTCCTCCTTTTCGCAATGGGCTGTTCATCAAATGAAATTCTGCTCTTGTGGGCTATCTTATTTGATACAGAACTGCTTCCCATTAATTCAAATTATAATAGCTCCTTTCTGTACCAGTACCTTGAAATGCATTCTATATAGCCTTTCGATGAATCTTGCTTCGATACGATTCTTTGCGAGATACTAATTGAGCTATACATAACAGCTGATGAATTCTAAGTTGTGTTATGCTGAATAAAATCAAATTCTGAGTCATTATTCATGGGATAAATAGTTAAAGCAAGACACGGTAATTTTCTTTATTGGCCAAAAATCCACCCTTTAATTCTTGAATATTCTCGTCGTCTCATAATGCCGAAGAAAACATTTCCCAGGTTTTATGTATATATATGTATTCTAGTGAATCTCCAGATAACGAAAAGGAATAATTACTTTAAGGCCTCAAGTTGGATGACGCAAGTATTTTTAACACAGCAATATTTCAAATTAATTCTGTCGACACAAGATTTGATAGCATTTGCTGAGAATTAATTAATGTACAGATAATTGCACTTATTGATTTCAACGGTGTTTAAAGAAAGCTGCCTCATGAAGAGACTATTTTATTTTATAATTTATTTAGTTTCCGAATAGTAGCGCTTATTTACGCAAGAGATTATAAAAGTCAGTAGATAAAAAATAGAGGTTCACCCACAATCAGAGTAGCCAGTGACGTCACAGAGGCAAGTGCGCATCGTCAACCATGACTTAACCGGAAGGGGCGAAGCATGTAGAGTAACGATAGGCTGTTTTAGGATGCTAGTTGAGATGAGTTGTACGGTACCACTATAAGTTTCGGTTTCGCATTTCAGTTTGGTTTTCCAAAATTGGCAGCTGCTAGACAAGCAACAGAATTTCTGGTGATGGCGCATCTTAATTTTATAGGAAATGTCCATAGTATTTTCTGTTGATTAAAATAGTTTCATGTATTTTGGACTTTTTTTTTAAATTGCCATAAATTTTACGAGAATGAATGGCAAGTGAGTAATGAAATATTTACGCAACAGAAACATAATATCCGAAAACCTTTTATTAAGCAAATGAAAAATATCACAGCAGTATAAAATACATACAAGTCAAAACGTACAAAAAAGTCTAAAAGTACGAGATGTAACTTCTTTCGTACAAGTTTTCTTATCTTACAGCAAGTTGATGCGTCCAAACACAAAATAGTTACGAAGATCTACAGAGCATCAGTCTCTAAAGTTAGCACCTGAAATGTAGTATTCAAATTAGCTTAAAAAAAATTTTCGAAAATTTCAAAAGTCGAAAATTTGAAAATTTTCAAAAAGTCATACCAGTCATTTCATACTAATACTATATTTATATTTCTTTTACTCACACTGTCAAAAATTAGGTAAATTTTTCTCAAACCAAATGAGCCAAATCAGAGTGCTGATATAGAAAGTTTAGATAACAGCATGCGAATGTTCAAGAATACATAGGTTTTATAAACATCATGAGTGAATCCAATGCTAACAAATATTGGATGCCCATAATACCCCTAATATCTAAAGTTTTTTTTTTTTTTTTTTTTTTCGAAATTTATTGAAGATTTCTGCATCTTGGTTAACATTAGCACATTTTCGTAGTGTGTGCGAGGAGATATGAAGCATATGAAAAAACATATCACGACACGTTTAAGCAGTATACGACTAATGAATAAAAGGGATGAATGTCACACTGTACATATAACATCATAACACCGCTTTGGAAATTGTACTCTGGTGTACATAATGTTTCGCACACGTTTTGTCCAACAGCATTATTATTCTTCAATCTACACAGGCCAAGCTTTGTGTTCGATGTTGTGAACCACTTGCTTTACATTTGCGCACGAGCAGAGGTGCTATAAGACAGGCGTAATTGGAAAGCTGAATGTAAATGTCTGTTCTTTAGTGACGAGACTAGCTTCCCTTAGTACAGGTAATGGTTGAGTATACATGTGGGGATGCTTGGATGAATAGTTTTAAGAAAGGCTTGACGCAACACAGAGTTTTAGCCTGGTAATGGTGTGAAGCGCCATATTTTATGATTGTCGGATGTTTAGAATGAGTCATTTAGTCAATGATATTCTTCTGAGGTGGTTAGGCCTACCATTACGCTCTTCATTTCTATTATTCAAGGTAGTGTGTTTCACCAGAATAAAGTGCGAGGCCAAGGATGTTTCACCTTGGCCGCTTGGTCATTCAATGTATTCAGTCAAACATATATAGGATCATATGGATAAACACCACAGTCGCTTTCCTCAATCATCAAGAGGTCTGAACATATCATTCAGCAGCCTGGATTCTTTCAAGTACTGAAATTTGCAAGCGTCGAATTACAAGGATGTTGCTTTCCATAAATCAAAAAGTCTGTACGAAGATCTTTTATTAAACTGAAATAATCATATTTATGCCATTAAGGGTTCGTTACTGGTTCCATTTTGGGGAAAATGGGAAAAAATTAACGAATTTGGTGATAACTTTAGGGCTTTGTTGTGACACGGTCGCTAATTTTTTAAAAGAATTATGGGAAGAATAAGATTAATTTTCAAAGGAAATATATTAATTGTAATTGATGAAAACTAAAGCAAAAAATCTTAAGAAAACAAAAATCATTCGTTTGTAACACTTAACGGCTAGAGAGAAACAGTTTCGTGACTACTGCTAGACTCTCATACAGCAGACTGGACTAAAGAAATGAAAACTCTACTGCATGACAACTTATTTCAACAAACTTTTATATATATCAACGTTAGCATTATCAGTCTAATGCTAATACTGATACGTAAAAGTTCTACAACTAGCTGATATGTGAAAAGTTCAGTTTTTGCTACCACTTAGGAGAAAATAAACGTTGGAAAATATCTGACAAAGGCATAACTAAGAGTGTTAATAAACTCGCAATAAAGATAAATAAAAGAAACTTTTATGAAAGGTTTAAAGCACATCTCTGATAAAGCACATGGCGAAAACGAGCTTTTACTACGTTTTTACCCTAAATCACGCAAGCGTGTTTGGTATCAAATACATACAAAGGGCTCATAAACCCATGCTGAAAGATTTTCAAACTTGTATAAAGGTTCGTTAGTAGTGAAGGATTTTTTGAAACTCATGTTTCGGTTCGTATTCTGTGAAACGTTAATGCGGCTGTGTGAGATACTGTACAGCTCAGATGTCATTTTCTTGAGCTGCTGAGAAAAGGGTGTGCTTTTGTGCTTTTATTCTTCGTGTCAACTCCATAAGATCTTTATCGATATGGTGGTTAGCGCTGTTGGCGGCCGTATTGTTGGATCCGGGCTGCCTATAAGGATTCTGTACCACGCCACGAGCATAGGGAAAAATCTACTTATATTAGATGACATCATTTTAGATACATATTTTTAGATAACATCATTTTTTCTTGGCGTAATGATGTTTAGGATGGATTCTTACGGTTTTGTTTTCGTTGAATAACGCGCATAAGTGAGATGGAAGCGTCAAAATTATTGCTTGTTTCCTTTCAAACGAAAAGATTTAGCTGCAGTGCAGCAGATTTAGCAGATGGTTTCCTGTTTCATGGTATAGTAAAATTATAAAATCTTTCTGTTAATGTCAGATGTTGTTAATATCAGAAGCAATCTTAAGCGCTTAGATTATATAAATAGCTGAGTTCGTGAATAAGTGCAAAAGTCAAAACACGACGATCTCGACTTGAGTGTAAAAGGATTGTGCGCTAGTAGTATAATTATTATTGTTGGTTGCAATCTGTTGCTTTCACATTGCAGAAAATATTTCCTTTTCAAATATTATGTTATTTCCGTGTTAATGTTTATGTCATTCTAATATTCTGTTGTCTTAAAAGAGGGGTCTTCAACCTTTCACGCTCGAGAGTCACATCAATAAATTCACAAGGATCCGCGGAAAATTTATAAAAAAAGGGCAGGTTCGTTTTGCAAGACTACAACTAATTCTAGACGAAGAGATTGTGTTACAGATTTGTATATATATATATATATTACGAAATACCAGGCTCGGTAAGATAGCTTCCCCGCAAAGGATGTTTAGGGTTGCCATAAAATGGCAAGGAAAGACAAGGTTGCCACATTTGGCGACAAAATTGGCGATATGGCACAGACGGATGAAGAACCTTCTAGAACGAATTCTTACCGGTTTAGCCCAGAATGTTCTCGAACACAAGCCAAAAAAATATATAAACCTTGCTGGTACGCGGAGAGAGAGTGCGAGATAGTTAGTCTCGATTTAGTCGGTCCGTGCGGAGTCGATCGAGTTGACAGCCGGGCAGCGAGTGCCGAGTGGGTCGTCGAGTGCATCGAAGATTCTCTTAGTGTATCGCGGTTAGTGCATCGTCGAGAGAGTGTGTTCAGCTCCGGGAACGACTGAACCCAAAAAGTTGGGAGCTATGCTCTGTGTGTTGTCGAGTGCATCGCGAGTTGTAGCGTGTAGAGTCTCGAGAGTACATTCAGTTCCAAGAACGACCAAGCAGAGTCGGGAGCTGTACTCTGGTGCTTTGCAGCGAAGCATTCCCACCATTATAGCCTGATAACCCGAAGGCTGTGTCGCTGATTGTTCCAGCGAGTTTATAGTAGATCTTCGACGACTGTAAAACGTGACTTGTCCTGATTAATACCGGCCAATAAAGTGTGTTTCGATATTCCATCAAGTGCTGTGGTGTTATTCACTCCAAATCCGCCCGGACCCCGTAACATTAGAACTGGTGTCAGAAAATAACGCAACAATATATACATTGGTTCCAAAAAGTCGGAAATCGGATTAAAATGTTTTGCAACTTTTTTTAATTATTAAAAAGTTGCAAAACATTTTAATTCGATTTCCGACTTTTTTATGCTTTGTGCTTTTTTTAATTATTAAAAAAAAGCATAAAGATGATTGTACAGAACGAAGTTACAAAATGCATTTACAATAAAAAAATAAAAAAAAAAAAGAAGAAAATTTCCCTCACTGGCGGAAGAAGGTAGTTACTTTAGTTTTAATTTGAAATTTGACATTGTTTTTGCTTGATTAAAGCTTCACTATCCGGTTTAATCTGTGTTGTCGCAATTCGTAAAGTTTCCTCCAAATGTCTGCCTGTCAGCAGTGTTCTTGTTTTTGATTTTAGGATTTTCATCTTACTAAAAAGTTGTTCAACTATGTAGGTACTGCCAAAGATAGAAGACATGAAGAATGCATGTTTACAAATTCCTGGAACTTGTTTTCGGTCACGCACTTCGAATAAAAATAAATTAATGTAGGATTTTCAAGAAACTTGCGAACGGGCTGGCTGCATGGGTGTTTTCGTGGTTTTCCCCGTGTGTAACGTGTATACGAGCCAGTTTCCCTTCGAAAGTCCTCCACGAAGGCATCCCTCCCTTTAGGCGGATAGCCCTAGTGTGCTTTGCCATAATTAAATACACCACACCACCACACCAAGAAACTTGCATTTTACTGTAGTCACACTGTAAATCTATAAATTCTAATGGAAGTTCAGGTGGAACACTTCCAACGTCTACTGAAAATGGAGAGGGAAACACTCTGATAAAAATTTCATTTTCACGAAAATCGGAAAATCGGCTTTTGAATTTCTCTTTCAAATTTGAAATGCATTGTACATAATTATTTGAATTCCATGTTGTAAAGTTCTTCACACAATACATCAGTTTTAGAAAGTGAGTGGAATTGTTACTTAGCAACTGACTTTCCCACAGGATAAATTTTGTCTCAAAAGCTTTCACAAAGTAAAAAAGATTATGAACAAGTAGATCTTTTCCTAGTAAGCGGTAGTTCAAATTGTTGAGATGACCTGAATATCGGCAAGATAGGCAGTCTCTCAACCATTTCTCATCACTGAGCTCGTGAATAGATTTCCCTTGAAACTTAATTGTAGATCAAATTCGAATCACTCATAATCCAAAATGAGATGCATGGCCTGGAGGGTTTTACATGATTTTAATTACACTTAATATTTACATATATACAATGTAGCCTAAAATGCCTGAATTGAATATTAAGGCTCAAAAAGCAAGAAATGAAGAGTTCCATCAAAGAATCTAAATCGAATTATATTGCGTAGTGCATCGAATTCTGCCTTCAAGAAGAATAAAATTTCAAGTCACGTGTTCAGAAGGGGAAGGGTTAAGTAAGCCAATATAGATGGTCTTCTGGCGCCATCTCTTGGCGATATCAAAGAATAATCCTTAACACCCTTTAGATTTCATGAATTGTTGAACTTCGCTCTTCAAAGAAAACAAGGGCCTAAGCATCTTTACTTGGCTCTACCAACGTACTTCCCTTAATACACAACATCACCATATTCAGTTTGTAAATCACTCAAGAACTGTTGAAATCGGCCTGTGATTAAGTCCTTTAGACCGAATGAAATTAACCACGTTTACAACAACATTCGTCACAAGTTCAAAGTTTGAGAAGGACTTCTTGCACAAATTTTCTTGATGGATGATGCAGTGGAAAGTCATCATAGTATTATTTCCACTTGCCTTGATATCAGATTTGAGTAATGTTGTTACTCCTGTTTTCTCTCCAGTCATAGATTTAGCGCCGTCCGTGGTTTTAACAGATATATTACTGAAGTCAACATTACATTTATCCAAATTTTGTGTCAGATTCGACTACAAATCTGTTTCTTGAGTTGTACCTTTAAGTGCAACGACACTGTCTAATTCTTCTACAATTGTGAAGTCTCTATCCATGCCACGAATAAAAATGGCTACTTGTGCAGTATCTGTTGATTCATTCATCGCTACAGAATGAAACTCAAATTTTTTGCATTTGGGTTTTAATTTACTGAATATATCTGTTGCGACATGCTCTATGCGCCTCGCTATCACACCAAGCTAAGCCTGTGATGATCTTGTGATGGACAAAGCACATCAACTGCACTCTGAAGACATCTTTTGCAAATTCTCTATAACTCGCCACGCTTAGCATTTTTGTCTACTATCCATGTAACTAACACGAACACTATTTTCAGATTCTTTATTCGCTGTGGTGAAAAAAGACTGTTGAACATTTAGTTTTGATTTTAATTCACTCACCTAAACACTTCGAAAATGACCTTCCAATGCAGAATATTTCTCACTGTGTTTAGTATCATAATGTCTCAATATTGTATTCCTTCACCACAGCTACACTGTCGTCGCAAATAAGGCAAACTGCCTAAAGTTCGTCATTTTCAGAAAATGTTTTCTCAAATAATATCAGGCGTGTCCATAAAATGTTTTAAATATCAAGAATAAGAGAAAAAAAAAGTTTTTTTAAGACAAAAAGCTGACAAGGCAATTTTTCTTGAAAGACCAGCTCACATAATAAAGATTAAAATTTCTTAAAATTCTTCCAATTTTTCTTCAAATTCAAATGTGGGCCACTAAAATGCCTTCAATGGGCCACGAGTTTAAGACCCCTATCTTAAATGAAAGAAGATAGTGCATTCACTGCTGTCGCTGAATTTAATACACGTGCATTAATTAAAAAGAAACTTCCTTCTGTGACAAACACTGTTTTTTTGCAAAGGTACAAAAGATATTACACATTAAAAAATGGGCAGTATTTATAAAATAATATTTTTAAATTTAAAATACGTATCTCTATTTCTCTGTTCCAAATCTATATTAGTCTAATTTCAAAAATATTTTTTACTTTTTACACTGATTATAAGTATTGTGAATTTATTGTGTGCTATGTTAGCTCCTTACGTTACGAATACCATTATTAAAAATCCCTGCACATAATATTAATACACATTAACAGAGTTAGCACCAGAAGATATAATATTTATTCTCTCTAGGAAAAAAAAAAAAAAAAAACCCACCATATTTTTTACATTAAATTCATCACAGTACAGTGTTGTAAAAGGTGTAGTCTCATAGCAACAAAAATACAACGCACGTAATAATCTTTTCGGTACTGCTATCAAAATATAAAAAAACGGCATGTAGGTGTACTCTCGAGCCCAAGCAAGTCAAGGCGTTTCTATGCGTTGAAGAAATTATGTCATCAAAAGCCATATCCAGTTACGTGGATTCCAGTTAAAGTTCACCACGCGTCGAAATTTCTCTGAAGCAGATTGGTGGCCAACGAACAAGAGAGGGACATCCTTATAGCCGACCAGCCGGGCAATTTCCCAGCTTTTAAAATCCATCTTGGTGGATGCAGACTTTAAATTTCAGAATCAGCTTTTTTACTTCCTTGTACGAAGTAAAAAGGAAGTATTGTAATCGCGAAAAGTTTCAGGCAGCATATTTCAACGAAAATATCCATTTTGACCGCTATCGAATGCAATTTAACGATGTTTTTGCGTCATATCTGTACGTAAGGACAGAATAAAATACTCTTTTCCTTCAAAAAAATTATACAACTGCTTTAAAATTAATTCTGAAGAGAATATTTCGTGGCGTCTGTACGAACATGCGTACGTACGTATCTCGCATAACTCAAAACGAGTAGCCTCAGAACGTTGAAATTTTGTATATAGGACTGCTATAACATGTAGATGTGCACCTCGTATTTTGGTTGCAATCGGCCGCACCAAACGTATATAACTATATTTATATATATATATATATATATATATATATCCACTCTCTTACCCGGCTCAGTAATCTCAGTTTCTTTACTCTTATATGTTGGTAGATTGTACATTTTTTGCTTTAAAAATGATTGAATTATGTTGTTTTTATCTTCCGGTTAAGGATTTTATGCCTTTAGTAAATCTGTGTGCAATATTTTTAGAATTATCAGCAATTTTAAAGTTGTTTAATTGCCGCTAAGCCTTTTTTTAATGGCGGCCATTGATGTTTACATTTGAAACTGGAGACTAGTGGACTTGCTGCCAATCTAGAGAAACTTAGCTTCGCAACAACAAAGATAACGCTTTCATTTATTATTTAAATCATGCTTAATCCTTTCTGGAATTTTTTCGAGGAAATAAGCGTTTAAGATTTATTTCGTAATTTTTAATATAGATATTTTGAGTTTTTACGTATTTTTGCCTTCTCGCGAAGTGAGAACTGAATTAATTAAATGAGAAATACTCAATCGTTTGTGAAAAACTGTTTCTGTTTTGTTTTGTTTGCTTAATTTCTTTTATACATAGTTCTAGCTTTATTATAGTATTTGAATAGAACATGTGGCAACGATTAGATAATTCTTTAAATGATATACATTTTGTGCATTCTGAGTTATATATGAATGAAAAATATAATACTGTTAAGTAAACCTAGCGCCAGAGTGTCGCTATGGTAAACAAAGTGAATTTTAAAGAATGCATTTATTCTATTGTGGTTTATGCGCTTTCGGCGAAGTAGGTTTAATTCAATATAATAAGTTTAAATAAAATGCAAGAAAAAATGCGTATAATTTAATATTCCGTACAAGGAAGTCATGTGGAGTACACATCAGATTTTTTTTAAAGGCGATCGGAAATCTTGTTCTGCGTTTTGACAAATGCTTCAGACTTTATAACGAATATAGGGAAAATTTTGTTACGGAATACGGTGTTTAATGCATTACTCTAGTCTTTTAGATCTTGCAAAGAAACTAATGATTAGAGAACGAGAAGGAATTACTAATTTCTATGAAATTTTAAGTATAATTTTTTTAACATGGATTGGATAAAAATTACTGAAATGTTTATCGTAAATATTAAAAAAATTCATCGAAAACTACTGATTTCTTTCTACCTGAGCGTCACAAATTAAATAAGATTTGAAAAATGGTTTAGCCTAAAACATGAAGAGCGATTAAAAAAATGGCATAGGTGACACATTTGTATCATTAATAATACCGATCAGAAGGTTCATCATCGATTCAGAAGAAAGGAATGTTGAATAATGAATGTGTATAACCTTCCTGTTGGTTATATCTAAAACGTTTTAATTCGCAGCAATTGAACAAGCACTAAAAGTTTAAAAAATATCCCCTCCCCAAATTCTGAAGGTATCTTTTTAATTTATAAAATTAATATTGTATTTAGCGTATGGTTATAGCAGTCGGTAGTAACAGTTATATTATTAATGACTAAAACTTTAACAGCTATATTGCTATAACAAATTGCCTCCATATTTTAAAAAAAGAAATAGAATTTTGAAAATCAGTTAAAAATTTAATACTGACTGAATTGGATAAAAATGTTAAATCAGCAAGCATACTTTTTCATACTATCCTTTAATGCTGATAACCCGTTCCTCGAGAATTCTCCTTCAAAATTGCGATGAAGCTAGACAAAATCGCCCGATCAGCTACAAGGCTCATAATTACAAAGACTCCATTATAAAATTCGTGGACTTGATCTGAAGTTACAATCAGACATGTGAGCTAAGTAACAATAACAACAGAAGAGCTTAATTCTGTAATCTTCTACGAGTTTTAACTTACCACATTCTTTACTTGTGTGCAGGTCAAAAGACGTTAGGGGGAGGGGAAACCATTCAAGCAACTATTTATTTCAGACTATTTTATGGATTATGCATGCTAAGAAAAACAATGTTAAATTATTTGAAAATGACAAAGCCTATTTGCCTAAGAGGAGGGAATCCTCCATGGAGGACTTTACGAGAAAAAATGGTTTGTATTCACATTACACATGCTAAAAACCATGCAGCCAGCTCTTCAAACTGGGAAGGAACCCAAGCTAGGTTGAAATACCAGTATTCAGTGGTCTTAGCCATTCAGCAACTGGGGCTAAGAAAAACACGAATTTTGCTTCAATAGGTTAAAATTTTTGCGCTGGAGTGCATTTGTTATTTTTTTAACCGACTGTTAAAAAATAATGTGTTTGCTGGGATTACATACGTTATCCGAAACCATTTAATTTCTTAAAGACTTGACTAGTTATACAATGCTGCATGAATTAAACTGATTACAGTCTTGATTCTCCATAAACTTCTATGGATAATTAACAATTTTGACCCTGAAAATTGAAAAACCGCAGTAAAATGTATTTACTCTTGCATATAGAATATCTTACTTCATCATGTCTGCTTCATTGACTCTGCGAACTGGTCTGAACCATACATTTCGTGAGCAGCGTACGTTGTATACAAGAAGCCATCCTCATCCTTGTGCTCCCAGTACACCTCTGCAACAGACTGAGACAAAGTGGTTATACAGCGGTTTTTAACCATCAGGTAGAATGCTTGTGTAGGTTTTAAATTCAGACGAGACCTGGAAAACAAATTTAAATCATATACATAAGTATTTTCCCAATACAGTCAGTTGAAACTTCATTTATGTTTAAGAACATTATTTTATTTTGACTGGCGTTAATAATAATCTGTTGGAGAAAACCCGGAAGAATTAACGAAATTGAAGCAAATGAAATTGAAACGGAGATAATCTTTGTAGAGAGTAAATTCTAAATTTATAACAAAGTAGAATAAGTTGAGTTGTACATTATGGCATGAAATAATGTACATTATTACATGCATTTTGTGACATTTCATTACTGCTCCTAGTTAAAATAAATTTGCTGATTGACTAGGTCAGCTCAATTCTTAATTATTCTGAAAACTTTATGTGATGTATCTTAGATAGGAATGAAGTTATCAAGAAGTCCTGCTTATTGATGAAATTGTTCTCCGCTAAGCTCGATTCGAATGAATGCTACACAACTTCAGCTGTTGATACGAATCGCTCAGTTTAACTATGTAATAATTATGTATCCTGTCTTGATATAAGAGAGTGTACATTTAAAGAGCATGGCTATGGGAAAATTTAGATTGCCGCGAGAAAACCATGAAAAATCTTGTGCACCCACTCCGTTTAACATTTGGAAACAATTGGATTTGGTTTATTTAATTATGGGAAAACCCTCGAGGGATAGCTGTCTAATGGTTAGGAAGGGCCTCGTGGAGGATTTTCTAAGGGAAACTGATCCATATACACTTACACACGGGAAAAACCACCAAAACGCCCGTGCAGACAGCCCATTCGCCGGAATTCGAACCCCGGATTGAACTACCAATGTTCACCGCTCGGCCGCTTGTGGGCCATTTGGGGAATAGAACCCGATCTGAAGAGTCTGTTTTACAGTTTTAGCTTCTCGGTTACCGGTGGGCAACTAAACTTTAAATCTTACTACCTAACGCAAATAAAAATAATAAGCGAAACTTCTGTTGGGTGGTTTACAAGATTTTTGATTTACTGGCTATGCGAGTTAACTTTTTTAGGGCATAGATATTAACTTCTATCGAACTGCAATAATTAAATTGTTATCTATTATCCACTACTATTAATTTACGATTTAGTTTTGACATTTTATTTAATCTTCCACTTGTATTTAGTTAAATTCAACTTTCCGCACACAAGACGGAAAACATTAAAAACCAAATTAGTTTCAAGAGAGTGCACGTCAATGTACATATTTCTATAAGAATAGGGCTGAGTAGGAAGGCTCTCTAAATTGACGGTAGGCTCTTTAAGTTTAAAGAGCTGTTGGTGTTTAATGCGTAATATTAATAATGGAAATGTGAATATGTTGTAGAACAAACAAAAACTTTTATACACATATATTTTATTTATTACATTTACTCATTCAAAATGTACCTATATAAAATTGGTCGATGATATCAGAAATAAGACATATAATTTAAGATGTCTGCAGTTATATTTTTAGTAAATGTTAAATCTGTAAATGAGTTGCCAAGTGTACTTAAATAGTTACTTGGCACCATGTTGAGATTAAAATGATGTTTCATAAAATCTCGTTCATAAAATCGCCTTTTCACTTCGTTAGACGTCTACATTGAAATCTCCCATCATCATAATAGGAATATGCGTATCTCTAGTAAACTCTTCATCGATCAATTAAGCAGTTTCAGAATATTTCGTCAATGCACTACACAAGAACATTTTTAAATCTCCTGAATTAGCAGTTGGATGAATATATACGGATTCTAGAATAAGTTTTGATTCCATTAATTATTAAATAAACCATACAAATATAGCCTCCTTCTAAATCCTGTATTCTCTTGCGCTGCTTAACAGTAAGTTCTGTTGGTGCACAATCTGCTACATTCACAAATTTCTATAACTCGCAGCACCACTAGCATGGCGAAATAAAATACAACAAATACCACCCGAACACACTGACAGTCTACCAGATTATCTTGCGACTCAGACGCGGTCGCGCATATGCATGGAGCTTGGACTTCACTAAATTTCACTATTTTCCACGCGTTACTATGTGTATACGCTTTGTCAATTTAATTTTTTTGTTTCTTTTTTTACGTTTGCTAATGTGTTCTTTCATCTGTGTAATGATTGATTGTAAAGTTTGCAGCTTCGAAGATATGAGCACTGGCGCATACCTGAAGCAGCGTCTTAATTTTTGGTTTCCCCAGACCGTTATAGAGAAATGTAATCCTATGTTAAAAAATTTTTCGCTTCCTAAAAGAAGATCCTTCGACTTCATTAGATCCTTCGACAAAAAGTACTTTTCTTTTCCGAATTTGAGATATTTATATGCAAAGTGTTGTAGGGATGCTATATTTTTGCTTCATTTTCTAGTTTTTCAAACATTTCTCTTAAATCTTCAATAAAAGAAATTAAGCAACAAGCCATCGCCAGGTTTTGCTGAATCTTTTGTAATGATATGCTAGTTTCATTTATTCTTCGTAAAGTTTTCTTCTAAATGACAGTCACAAGCGAAAATTCAAGTGAATCGGTTTTTAGTAGAATATCTTCGCCTTCTACTCTCGTGGGCTGCTAATTCGAATCTTCGTGCAAGTAGTTTAAGGCATCCTTAATCTCTTTATATCCAAATGACATAGTTTTAACAGCGTCAGCTCTGCAGACCATCTGGTATCACATTTTTTTTTTTTTTTTTTCAACAGCTAGTTTTTTCCCCCCCCTTTTCGAAACATGTTTTGAAGTAGATTCTAACGGTATGTAGACAACGAGAAAAAATTATACATGCATTGTACATAACGAAAATAGGTAGCAGCTTCTAAGCAACTTTTTCTTGCACTGTTGCCAATCAAATTAAATGAATGACCCGAACACACACATATATGGTACAAATGCGCATTTTTAGGTTTCACCTTTATTTTGGCTTGCAAGCCCTTATACTTTCCAGACACGTGGGAATCGATATCGTAGCTTTATCCTCGACAATAATTGATATCTATGTTAAATCTCTTAAGTTTTTGAAAACAACACAATCAATATTCTTGGCAGTATGGATATAGGAACAAATTTCAAAAACCTTTCTATTGGCCGTCATATTCTATTGGCTGATAAAACATACCTGATGTTTATTGTTAGTGCATCTATATGGGAAATATCAGGAGTTGAATCTTTAAGTATGGAAAAATACTTTGCAGTATGCATCCCCTTTAGGATACAAGCCTGAACTTCATTTCTAGGAAAGTCAAAAAATTCATTGCAAACTGTGGAAGAAAAATAGCTTACATTCTCGGATTACCGTATTTTTATACATATGTTGCTAAAAGAGACTCAAACTCACTAAGAAATTCTATGGAGGTAAGAAAGATCCCAATACCAGTTTTTGCAAATAATTTCGTAGCTCAGCCATATAAAGACCAATCCCTTTTTTTTTTTTTTTTTTTGATAAAAACTTTTACTACTGCTAGTGCCCTTTTAAGAATATTTCTCCAGAAATCGCTTATACTTATTACCGAAGTGTATTCTGAAGAACGCTCGTGATTACTTCGATTTAAGCTTATATTTTTCCAATTTTTTTTTTTTTTTTTTTTTTTTGTTTGAATATACTCAGCCTGATTTTATCCGGTTTGCCAGTTTCTCAGGTGTTTGCTGTTTGCTTTCATGATTCACATCTCGGAACATATTGAACAGGTGATCTAGTATGTGCATGACTTGTATTGCAAACAAATGCCGAGTATTCTGAAATGTACTGGTAAAGCGTTACGAAGAAATAGTTGGCGTGATGTCACATTTCGGTATTTCAGTGGCGTATGTGGAATGTATCTACCTTCATGATAATCTTTTTTTTTTTTTTTTTTGTTTGTTTCTTGCGTGTCTCTTGAGACCTTAGATCCAAGGATGATCTATTTTTCACGTCCTTGATTAAGCTTTTTGCAAAGCTTCTTGGAGGTTCAATGCATTTCTTATATATCTTGCAATCGGATGGAGAACGAAAAAAAAAAAAAAAAAGCGAATTCCAGCAAATATTACTGCATGTTATTTTGGGCTATAAACCATTCTCGAAGATCGTTTGCGAAATTAACCTTACTTATATATAATGATGAACTTTGTAATTGTCTAATTTTTAATCCAACTCTTTCTTGCAATCGCTAAAAATATCTCTGAAAGTCCGAATTTACATATACATCTGCCAGTTTGCCAAATCATTAGGAAATCATGTGTTGGTTATCTCTTTCATCAATACTGCCTTCTTAGCTTTAATATTGTTATAATGTAATTAAAATTATCAACTGCTTCTACATTTGAAAAAAGGCGCTGTTTCATCACTGCTGGTGTAAAGTAATGACTTCATGTAACATATATCTATATATCCAGTATACATCTCGTTGGGTTCAACTTAGTCGTTATTTTGCCCTTGTAAAAAAGACGTAAAGAATGATAATGTTGCACCTTTTTGCTTTTCCTGCTCATTTTCTCTCTCTCTTTTTTTTTTTTTTTTTTACTTACGTTTTTCCACTGCTGCTTAGATATTTGTAATTCATGGCAGTTTTCAAAAAGAATCTAAAGCAACGTAACCAAATAACTAAAGTTTTACCCTCATCGAGTGCTCATAAAAAGTTTTTCGAGTAACTTTCTCAAAGGAGATAATATACTCAATAATCAATTAGTAAATAAATTATATATATACATAATTTATTGTATGTATATATCTATATCGCACATTGGCGACTGACTTTGAACACCAAACAAATAAAGCCTTTCATAAAAAATCAGATAAACCAAAACAATAAAGTGGTTTAGCAGTTAAAATACAAAGGCACAAGTGTTGCCATTCATACGGTTGCAAGAAAACGGGTTTGCGTAATTAGCGAGTTTAAGAAGAAACTCAGAAGGAAACTGCAGCCTCTGCTGTATACAGTGGGTACCACTTAATGTGATTGAATATCATTATGTAAAGTAATTTCAATTATATGTATTTTATATGTAGTTTGCAATTCATTAAAATAAGTAACCATTTTTTTTAAAATTCATACAAACAG